ATCTCATCTCTCTCTCTGCATGTCCGAAGGGGAGCTGGACCTAGTCTGTCTGTCTGCGTGTGCGAGGGCAAGCTGGTCCTCGTCTCTCATGCATGTGCGAGGGGGAGCTGGACCTAGCCCCTCTCTCTGCATGTGAGGGGGAGCTGGACGATTCTCTCTGCATGTGCGTGGAGCTGCTGGACCTAGTCCCTCTCTGTGCATGTGCATGTGCGAGGCGGAGCTGGACCTCGTCTCTCTCTCTGCGTGTGGGAGGGGGAGCTGGACCTAGTCTCTCTTTATCTGTGTGCAAGGGGGCGCTGGAGGAAGTCTCTCTGTCCGTGTGTGCGAGGGCTAGCTGGAATTAGACACACTCTCTGCATGTGCGAGGGGGAGCTGGACGTAGTCACTCTCTGTGCGAAGGCGAGCTGGCGGTATTCTCTCTCTCTCTCTGCGTATGCGATGGGGAGCTGGACTTGGTGTCTCTATTTGTGGGTGTGAGGGAGCGCTGGACCTGGTCTGTTTATCTCCATTTGCGAGGGGGAGCTTGACCTCGTGTGTCTCTCCGCGTGTGCAAGGGGGAGCTGGACATAGACTCTCTCCGTGTGTGCGAGTCGGAGCTGGACCTAGTCTCTCTCTCTCTGCGTGTGCGAGGGGGAGCTAGACCTGTTCTCTCGCTCTGCGGATGCGAGGTTGCGCTGGACCTGGTCCCTTTCTCTCCGTTTGCAAGGGGGAACTGGACCTAGTCTCTCTCTCTGCGTGTGCGGGGGGGAGCTGGACTTGGTCTCTCTCTCTGCGGGTGCGCTCTACCTGGACTCCTGTCCGTTTGCGAGGGGGAGCTGGACCTAGTCTCTCTCTCTGCATGTGCGAGGTGGAGCTGGACCTAGTCTCTCTGTGTTTGCGAGGGGAAGTTGGGCCTAGTTTCTCTGTCTGCGTGTGCGAGGGCGAGGGGGACCTAGTCTCTCTCCGTGTGTGCGAGGTGGAGCTGGAGGAAGTCTGTCTCTGTGTGTGCGAGGGGGAGCGGGACCCAGTCTCTATCTGTGCGTGCAATGGCCGGCTGGAGGTTGTCTTTCTCTCTGCCTGTGTGAGGGGGAGCTAGACCTAGTCTCTCTGTGTGCATGTGCGAGGGGGTGCTGGACCTAGTCTTTCTTTCTGCATGTGCGCGGTGCAGCTGGACTTGGTCTCTCTCTCTCTGCAGGTGTGAGTGCGAGCTGGACCTGATCTCTTTCTCTGCCTGTGCGAGGAGGAGCTGGACCGACTCTCTCTCTGTGTGCTTCAGGGGCCGCTGGACCTATCTCTGGCTGCATGTGCGAGGGGGAGCTGGACCTGGTCTCTCTCTCTGCGTGTGTGAGGGGGAGCCGGACCTGGTTTCTCTCTCTCTGCGTGTGCGAGGGGGTGCTGGATCCCATCTCTCTCTCAGCATGTGCAAGGGGGAGCTGGACCTAGTCTCTGCGTGTGCGAGGGCAAGCTTGAGGCCTCAGCCTCAACCCAAACCCTAACCCTAGCATTAGACACAACCCTAATGCTAACCCTAACCCTAACCCTAGCCTCAGCCCCAACCCCAAACCTAACACTAAATAATAGCCTCAACTCCAACCGTAACCTTAACCCTAGCATCAGACCCAACCCCAACCCAATCCATA